TTTTGGCGTATGCGATCTCGAAATATATACAAACATGTTTGACGGTTGGATCATTGAAACTAGTTTCGTAGAATGAGTATCCCATTAAAACAATAGATTCACTAATACTTAAGAGTTTATTCATACTTTTATTAAGTATAACATAAGATTTTGTGGTATCCACTAGTGTAAATATTTTAAATTGAAGATCGAATTCAATCATTGTATTCATATAAGGTCAAGGAGTGTAGTTGTAAAAAATCATCAAAATCGGAGTTAAATTAACCGTTAAATCGTGATTTTTTGTTTATAACCGTCGAAAAGTTTTGTCCCGTTACTTGCTCTCTGAATGTTTGTTTTTTGCAATTTTTGGTGTATCCGATCTCGAAATATATAAAAACATGTTTGACGGTTGGATCATTGAAACTAGTTTCGTAGAATGAGTATTCCATCAAAACAATAGATTCACTAATACTTAAGAGTTTATTCATACTTTTATTAAGTATAACATAAGATTTTGTGGTATCCACTATTTTAAATTGAAGATCGAATTCAATCATTGTATTCATATAGGGTCAAGGAGTGTAGTTGTAAAAAATCATCAAAATCGGAGTTAAAATGACCGTTAAATCGTGATTTTTCGTTTATAACCGTCGAAAAGTTTTGTCCCGTTACTTGATCTCTGAGTGTTTGTTTTTTGCAATTTTTGGTGTATGCGATCTCGAAGCATATATAAACATGTTTGACGGTTGGATCATTGAAACTAGTTTCGTAGAATAAGTATCCCATCAAAACAATAGATTCACTAATACTTAATAGTTTATTCATACTTTTATTAAGTATAATATAAGATTTTGTGGTATCCACTAGTGTGAATATTTTAAATTGAAGATCGAATTCAATCATTGTATTCATATAAGGTCAAGGAGTGTAGCTGCAAAAAATCATCAAAATCAGAGTTAAAATGACCGTTAAATCGTGATTTTTCTTTTTATAACCGTCGAAAAGTTTTTTCCCGTTAATTGATCTCTGAATGTTTGTTTTTTGTAATTTTTGACGTATGAGATCTCGAAGTATATACAAACATGTTTGACGGTTGGATCTTTGAAACTAGTTTCGTAGAATGAGTATCCCATCAAAACAATAGATTCACTAATACTTAATAGTTTATTCATACTTTTATTAAGTATAACATAAGATTTTGTGGTATCCACTAATGTAAATATTTTAAATTGAAGATCGAATTCATTACTTGTATTCATATAGGGTCAAGGAGTGTAGTTGTAAAAAATCATCAAAATCGGAGTTAAAATAACCGTTAAATCGTGATTTTTCATTTATAACCGTCGAAAACTTTTGTCCCATTACTTGATCTCTGAATGTTTGTTTTTTGCAATTTTTGGCGTATGCGATCTCGAAGTATATACAAACATGTTTGACGGTTGGATCATTGAAACTAGTTGTGTAGAATGAGCATCCCATCAAAACAATAGATTCACTAATACTTAAGAGTTTATTCATACTTTTATTAAGTGTAACATAAGATTTTGTGGTATCCACTTGTGTAAATATTTTAAATTGAAGATCGAATTTAATCATTGTATTCATATAGGGTCAAGGAGTGTGGTTGTAAAAAATCATCAAAATCGGAGTTCAAATGACCGTTAAATCGTGATTTTTCGTTTATAACCGTAAAAAAGTTTTGTCCCGTTACTTGCTCTCTGAATGTTTGTTTTTTGCAATTTTTGGCGTATGCGATCTCGAAGTATATACAAACATGTTTGACGGTTGGATCGTTGAAATTAGTTTCGTATAATTCGTATCCCATGAAGTTCAACGGTGTGTGTGTGTATATATATATTTATTTATTAAGTAGATTTAAATCTATTAATTTTGTATGTATAATTATTATAGTTTTTAGGGGTATAAAATTTAATATATATATATATATAATTATTATAGTTAATATTTTGGGTATAATTATTATAGTATATATAATTATTATAATTATTATAGTTAATTTAATATATATCTATATAATTATTATAGTTTTTAGGGGTATAAAATTGTTAAATTAATATATATATATATATAATTATTATAGTATTTTTTTAGGGTTATAAATTATTAAATTAATATTCTGCTTATCGTGTATCGTGTTACCCACGTGTATACCCGAACAAACCCGTTATCTTAACAGGTGCTTATCGGGTTACCCGATAACGACCCGTTTCGTTATCGTGTCGACCCGAACACCTGTTAATTTCGTGTCGTGTCGTGTCGGGTTATCGGGTCGTGTCAGGAATTGCCAGGCCTCTGATCCATGCCAACAATTTTATGGGAAGTAGGAAGCAAGGTGCTGATAGGGATTTTACCCACCTGTAAAAGTAGGGATAAAAACATTTAAAAATACTTGTAAGAGTATAAGGTTATCATAATATAACGGCTCAAATAAGATCGTTTTCTGCATGAATTAAATGAATAATTTATGTTTAAGCTAATTCTTAGCTAATTATTTAGAACAAAGTTATGAAAAGGTTGATTTTAGAATTTAAAATAATAAAAACGAATTTAAATAAAAATAATTAAATAATTGACAAAGTAAAGAAAGCAAAAGACAAAGGTTTTGGAAAACAATTTAAACACTAGGGTTCAGCCAGTCACCATTAACAATCCTATGCAATTTTAACATTTACTTATGAATTTCTACATACATGCTTTGAAGGTTAGGCTTTCCTAATACATATTTTCCTCGTGATGTTCAAGCGAAAACGTATATCTAACATGCAACCCGTCTGTAATGTTCAGATTAAATATAAACATGCAAGACTCATTAAGCTTTGTGAAAACCCTTGGAAAAACCACTCAGCATTTAAGAGCGTGATGTTCGCCTTAAGTGAACTTACAATTACTAATCACAAGAAGCCCTCCTCAATTTAAGGGTGATGTTCCAACAAAAATTGCATCAAATTACTTGTTTAAAAACCCTAATGATCGCGAATCACTAAAACAATTAGATATTTTAATCACGGTGATTAATAATTCAAAGCAAGCATGCATCAATTCATAAGCAAATTAATAAAATCACATATTCATGTTAAGGCTTAAGGCATCGCCCTAGCAAAAGAAACTAGCTACGAACAATCATAAAACAAAATATTATTGAGAATAAGGATAGAAAACACCTAGAAAATAAACTTGAAAAATTCTCTAAAATGTGCGTGTGTTTCCTCATCTCCTTCCCTTCTAACCCTAACGGCTAAAAAGTCTTATTTATACTACTACAAAATAAAACCCTAAAAAGTCTTAGAATAAAACTAGGAAACATAACAAAATAATAAAACGGAAAAGTAAAGGTTTCTTATTTAAACTGAAATTCGGACTTCTCAGAAAATTTGACTTTTGACTGACTAAATCAACTCCGATTTGGTCCAAAAAGGTCTCTTTTGAAAGCTGGAGACGTCCCCTACAAATTATCAGAAGGAATCTTTCTCAAAATATGCCATATTGACCTCAAAAATACCCAAAACGTCCAGAAACGTCAATCTGGGAAAGCTACGCGCTGGGCCTTTATTTCACCGTCACGGTCAAACGGTTTGGTAGAAAAATCTGAAACTTTGACACAATCATCTTGACCAAACTGATCCTTCTTTTTCATGTGTCATTTTTTAACATTTATAAGTAGTGGCGGATACAAAATTTCATGTGTCATTTATGTTGGCTGTGAGTAATATGTTATTGTTTTTGTATTTTGTTTGTTTCGACATTCTATTAGGGAAGTGGCCACCCCCCAGTTAGAGTTAAGTAAAGTGTTTGCGTGCTTAAATTGCAGTGAAATAGAAGCAAAAGGGAGTTGGTTACCTTTGAAAATCAAAGCCAAGAAGAATCTGACAAGGGAGATAGAAACCAATAACAGCGAAGGGGATATTTCTGTGAATGGTGTGCGCGGCAGGCAACTAACAGAAGAAGCAGAGAAAGGGATTGGTGATGTTGGACTGAAGCCCATCCGGGATTATTTTCTTGTCTAAAGGAAATCTTCTTCTAAGCTTTAGGCATAATGCACAATCTGGTTTTGCGAGTTTTCAGCCTGTTTCAACTTATTGGCTAGCTCTAGGCATTCAAATGCCTAACATAACCATGGCATGCTCATCTGCGTTTATACAGCAATTTCAACACTTAGTGCTGTCTTTGTATATTTAAGGTCGTTTTCAACAGCTCATATGGGATTGAAGGCTTCGAAAGCCTTTGTCTCGGGTTTCATCGATGCTATCTTTAAGGCCCCAATGCTGTTCTTTGACTCAACACTGTTGGCCGGATTTTGATACGAGTAAGTAGTCAAAATGCTACTTATGAACTCTGCTAACTGAATTTCAATCACTTGTTATCACGGCCATTTGATAACTCTACTTTTATAGGCTTCATCTGATTTAACTATTTTGGATTTTGATGTACCTTTCTTACTTATCTTGCTTCCCAAGGGTTATGCTGCTCCGGTACTTATTAGAGCAATACATCTTGAATTTCAGGGTGTTTATAGGTGTTTAACATGGAACAAGTTTCTGGATGTCTGCAGGGCTTATAGGACTTTTCCTGTCATATGCGTTAATGCTAACGGGGATACAGATTTTTGTGACTCGGATAATACCAGCCCCAATTATTGTCCGTTCTTATTTACGTTTCACAATAAAACCAACTAGTTCACTAAAATCAATTAGTCATATGAATGAACCAACTACTTATAAATACATGCAAAATTCATTCTTTTCTCGATTTGGTATTCATACTCTCAACAGTTGGACGTGTTTATATGTTTTCATTTCAGTAAAAAAGATTCTAGGACACAATGGACATTTTAAAAAGACAGAAAAACTCGCCTCAAAAAAATAAAATAAAAAATAAAATACAGCTGACCCATCAAGACAATACCAGCCACAATTATTTCTTTAACAAAGAGATGTCGTACCTTATTTGCTTGGCCAAGAGTTCGTCGTGGCCTATTGCCTTTAGAAAGTCAACTCTATCTAAGGTCAACTGTGTTTGAAGTCAGCTATTCTGCTATTCGATCTGTTACATGCAAACAATTGTATAAGAAGTAGGAAACCAAGAGCTACCAGAAATGAAGTAGTGATTGAAATTGTCTGTGATCATGGCTTCCTCTAGAGCTCGAGAAGCCTCGTCTTCCAATTCTTCTCCATCTCGAAATTGTTATCATGTGTTCTTGAGTTTCAGTGGCGAAGACACTCGAAAGACTTTTACTGACAATCTCTACACGGCTTTTGTTGACAAAGGCTTTCCCACATTCCGAGATGAAGAAGAACTTGAGAGAGGAGAAGATATTAAGCCAAAATTTGAAACAGCCATCCAACAGTCACGGAGTTCTGTCATCGTATTTTCAAAAAACTACGCGTTTTCCAGATGGTGCCTTGACGAGCTTGTCATGATACTTGAACGCAAGAGGATCTCAGACCATGTAGTTTTACCAATCTTCTACGATGTTGATCCTTCAGATGTGAGGAAGCAGACAGGAAGCGTGGAAGAAGCATTTGCCAAACACGAAAAAAATGGTCAACCATCCAACAAGATGAACCAATGGAAGAAAGCACTTGCAGAAGTTGCAGATCTAGCAGGGATGGTGCGAGCAAATCAAGCTGATGGGTAACTTTTTTTCTAACTAGCCATGTTCTATAATGATGTTTAACGTTTGATTAATTACGTAGTCCTAATTCATGTCTTAGCAGGCCTTTTCTGATAATTTGAATCTTTTGCTTTCAAAACCTCATAAACTATGTGCGGTAAAGTATTTTATCAAAACCTCATAAACTATGTGCGGTAAAGTATTTTCACATATACTAATCAATATCAGCTAAATTCCCTATGAATATGTACTATTTTTGGTTTCCTGTGTTGTCAATATACTTATCTGGTTGTAAGCATTCATTCGTTGTTTGAACATTTGATAACATTGGCCTATTATTTGCATTCAACTTTGTAATTTATTTTTATGAAACATGTGTGGCATGTCAAGTAATATGATTTATTTTTTGTTTTAATTCTAATGTTTAGGTACGAGTCAAAGTTTATCAAGAAAATTGTTAAAGTGATTGACGATAAACTAAGCCGCATACGCACACCATTTACTGGTGCATCCTACCTGATTGGAATTGATTCACGAGTTCAAAATATTAATTCATGGTTAAATGATGGATCAACCGATGTCGGCATAGTTTTAGTTAACGGGATTGGGGGAATTGGAAAGACAACCATTGCAAAATTTGTTTATAATTTAAACCATAGAAGATTTGAAGGAAGCTGTTTCCTTGAAGATGTCAGGGAAACTTCAAAGAAACCGAATGGTTTAGTGCAACTGCAAAGTAAATTTCTTCGTGATATTTTGAGTGGAAGAAAAGTGAAAGTACATAGTGTTAGCGAAGGAATAAACAAGATTAGAGATGCCATAATCTGTAAAAGAGTTCTCCTTGTTCTCGATGATGTGGATGATATGGACCAAATTAGAGCAATATTTGGGAGACGAGATTGGTTTTTTCCAGGAAGTAAAATAATCATAACAACCAGGTATGCACAATTGCTAAGGGAACGTGAATTATCCATCTACAACATTTATAACGTTCACAGTCTGAATGTCGATGAATCACTGGAACTCTTTAATTTGCATGCTTTTGGACAGGATCAACCAAGAGAAGGTTACATGAAACTTTCGAAAAGGATAGCAGACCGAAGTGGAGGACTTCCATTAGCTCTTCAGACTTTGGGTTCTTCTCTATATGGTCGAGATATGGATGTATGGGAGAGTACACTGGACAAATTAGTAGATATTCCACAGAATGAAGTCTTTAAAAAGCTCAGAATAAGTTACGATGCTTTACAAGATAACCACGACCAAAATTTGTTCCTACATATTGCATGTTTCTTTGTCGGAAAGGAAAAGGATTATATTGTTAGAATACTAGATGGATGTGATTTCTTCACAATTGTTGGCATTGAAAATCTTGTGGATAGATGTTTGGTAACAATTGGTGAAGATAAAGTGGTGAAGATGCATCAAATGATCTGTTCAATGGGCAGAGAAATTGTTCGCCTAGAATCAAAGGATCCTGAGAAACGAAGTCGATTATGGAGGGATAAGGATTCTTTTGATGTACTGAAATCAAAAAATGTAAGAACCATTCTCCTCTTATATGCGCGCGCGTGTGTGTGTATGACTCTTTTTGGGAATGCATACATCCTTGTTTTATTTATCAAACTGTTTCTTTTTTTTCCTTCTGTTTTTTAGGGTACAGATTCCATTGAAGGTCTTAAGTTGAACATGCATGTGCTCTCGGCAAGCACTCTTTCAGGAAATTCAAATGAGATAGTCTTGCACACTAATGCATTTGCAAGGATGAACAAACTAAGACTACTCCAGCTTAGTCATGTACAGTTCAAGGGATCGTATAAAGAACTCCCGAAAGAGTTAAGATGGTTGAGTTGGCTTGGATTTCCTTTGAAATCTATTGCCAGTGATTTTCCTTTGGAGTTCTTGGTTTATCTTGAAATGCATCAGAGTAACTTGACGCATGTCTTCAACCGGAAAACAGACTTGAGACAAGTCTTGAAAGGAAGAAAGGTATGCTACTCCAGGCTTGTGCATTCTTTTGTGAAAAAGGTGTTTTATGATTAATTTGATTTTACTAAGAATTAAACTTTAGACACTTTTCGTTTTTTTCTTTTTTCCACAGCACCTTCCCTCATTGAAGACCCTTGACCTAAGTCATTCCCATAGCCTAACTGAAATCGGTAACTTCTCGTTGGTTCCAAATTTGGAAAGACTTATTCTTGAAGATTGTCTGAGCTTGGTTGATATCCATGATTCGATTGGAAAGCTAAATAGACTGGTTTACTTGAATTTGAAAGATTGCATAAAGATTATGAAGCTTCCAAGGAATGTTTTTGCACTGCAATTACTTGATACACTTATTGTTTCTGGTTGCTTAAATCTGGATGCATTTCCAGCGGAGTTGAAGATGATGGAATCTCTAAAAGTGCTAGATGTGGCTGATATTTCAATAACAACCACTGGGGAGGTCAAATCACGCCTAAGGAGAAATCCAGAAACTTTTTGGGCATCTTTACCGCGTTGTTTAGCACATTTAAAGCTCACAAGTTGCAATCTATCTGATGATTCTTTTCCCAAAGATTTTAGTAACCTACCCTTTTTGGCGTTACTTGACCTAAGCAACAATCTAATTTCTGGTCTACCAGATTGCGTCCGAGGTCTTACAGGTCTTGATCAACTCATCTTTTCCAATTGCAAGATGCTCAAAGAACTTGCAGAGCTACCAAGAGTAACATACTTGGGTGTGTTTGATTGCACATTACTTGAGAAAGTAACATTTCAATCGAGTTCCTGCATACCGTTTGAATTCCTATGCTTTTATAACCCTAACCTAGTTGAAATTGAATACACGTACAAGTTTGAACCCATTGAAAGATTTGATATGGAACTCATCCACCTTTTGGGTTTGTATAACTTGGATCCCACGGCAACCATCCAAATGATCTTCCCATGTAGGAGTGCGCGTCTGCCTAGGATTTTGAAGCTGGAGGATTGGATAAGGGTGTATCCCATTCAGGTGCCTCTCTCTGTCTCTCTGTCTCTCTGTCTCTCTCTGTCTCTCTCTGTCTCTCTCTAACAAACAAACACACACACACACACAAACATCACATGGAAGATAAGACTTGACTAGGATTCTGATTTGTGTGACATATGTTGTATGTATAGGGACTGTATGAATATGGGATATTTAGCACGTTTCTTCCTGGGAATGTGGTGCCAGGCCAGTTCAGCCATAGAAGTAGAGGCTCTTCAATATCTTTTACCGTGCCTTCTACTTCTAATCAAAGGGTTCGTGGCTTGAACATCTTCTCTGTTTATACACGTTTTGATGGTGGTTTTCGTCCTGGTTATCATTGTGATATAATTAGTCCAATAATCACTAAAGTTAGCAACAAAAGCACTGGTGTGAAGTTTATCTATGACCCATCATGCTTCGGCGATCCAGGTCATTCGGAAGAAGACATGATATTCTTAAGCCATTGGGATTTGGAGAATCAATTGAAAGGTGGTGATGAATTGAAAGTTTCCATATTTATGAGAGCATGGTTTGAATTAAAGGAGTGTGGTATCCAGCTTGTGTATGAGAAAGAAAAGAAGATGATTACCCAACAAGACACGACAACTCCTTCTTTTGCATCTGCCAGTTTTGAGCGTTTGGAATACGAGTTGATGCCAAGAACATACTTTCTCTCTCATGGACCAGTAACAAGGAGAATATTGAGGTTTAGGATGTGGAGGAATTCGGTTTTGTTCAATGACATATTTATGGATTCTGATCAAGAAGCAGGTGTGTCTCACATCTATACTTTTACGTACTCTTGTTTTTCTCTAAAATCGATCACCATTCTTATCCAAAATTTTGGCATGGATTTGCATGGTTAACAGACAGAGAAGTACTGCAACAAGGCGAGCTGAGGCTTGCAACAACACAGCGGCATCCCCCGCACCTGAAACACGTCATATTTGAAAATAGATATGTACATAATCACTTGTTTGGCTCGGTGAGATCATGGTCAATAAGCCCTCTATGAAATGTCTGTGTAGTTGGTTCAGTTATCTTTGAATTCTGTTTCAAAGTATATCTGAGATGAGAGATATGCTTTACTCTTTATGCTGTACAGAACAGTTTCATATTTTTGTCTATTTCTGTTACAAATTTCCGAATGCAAATGTGGTTTAGATCACTCAATTTCTTGTTGGAAATTGCTGATCATATTCATCTCATTGATAAAGATTTAGCTTCGACATTTAACAAAAATTGGTCTTCGATCCTGCTTTACAAATTTGAGACTGGTTACAGTTAGGGATGGGCAAAATACCCATGGGTTTGGGTAATCGCGGTTACCCGTCCATTTAAAGTTAACGGTTTAGGTTATGGACAACCGTTTAGACGAACAAACGGTTATGGGTATAACCGTTTATCCGTGAAATTTAAATGGACGGTTATGGGTATTACCCACGGTTATAACGGGTATCCATCGGTTATGGGTATTATCCGCGGTTATAACGGATATTCATTTACCCATTTAATTTAATATATGTAAAATTAAAAAAAAAATTAAAAACCTTAAATTTTCAATTTCTCCGCTAGAGTCTGAAATGCCCCATCCCCACTCATCTCTCCCTCCTTGCTGCCTTCTCTCTCATCTCCGCTGCCCTCTCTCTCATCTACGCCGCTCATCTCTCTCTCTCTCAAGATTCTTACCTCGAAAAGTGTCTCCATGCGTTCCCCTCCTCTCTCTCTCTCTCGGTTTCTCTTTGATTTTAGTTTCCATATTTTCTTACATTTTCTTAGAAACCAAATAGGGCATCAAATTTAAATTTTCTTTTTAACTCTTATTCGGTGCTAGGTTTTGATTGCTCATTATTTCAAGTTTCATGAATTGGGTTTCTCCAAGAATTGCGATATTTTTATGAATTTTTGTGCTTTAGCAATTGATGAAGCTTGAATTTCTATATAATTGATTACGTGTTAAAGAATAATCATACTTTTTTTTTTGTCAATGGAGAAAAAGGGGTCTAGATATGATTTTTACATGTTCAATTTATGCTGGGCAGCCTTCTAACTTTGTATTTTATAGGATTAAGTATTATGTTTTCTATGGTTGATGAGCAAAATGTCGAAAAAAGGGTCTTCGTTATGTTGTATATGTTGTGAAACAAAATGCAGTGTAACTATGATGTTTAGTTGTCTATTGAGCCTTTGAAATCTCCGAATTTTGTAATTTTCAAGTTGTTATAAAAAAAACATGCAGACGGGTGAAAAAAAGGGTAAATGGGTAAAAAATGATAAACGGGTTCAAAAACGGGTAAACGGTTATGGTTAAATGGGTAAACGGTTATGGTTATGGTTAAATGGGTACACGGTTATGGGTATAGTTAACCATTTATAAACAGTTATGGATATGAGTATAACCGTTTATGCAATTACCCAATGAGTAAACCGTTATGCGGGTATGAACATAAACGGTTATGGGTAAATAACCGCGGTTACCCGCCCGCCATAACCATTGCCCATCCCTAGTTATAGTATCTTGCTTCTCTTATAAAATCAATATTGGAAAATATTATTTGGTAGTTTCGTATAGTTGTTTGACAAACTTTATGGATGCGTTTGTTGCACCGGACTATCTCGAACTGGACTAGTTTCAAGGACTAAGCTAGATTGGCTTGGACTAGACTAAGCAGGACTAACTTAGTGAAGCGTTTGATTCAGTGTCGGGCTAAGAAGTAGGATAATAAAAAAAAAATTAATTCTTTTTTTTCTTTTTCTATTTCTTTTTCCTGTTCTAGAACACCCCTGAAACCACTCTTCCCTCTCCTTTTTTATGTCCAAACTCCATACATTACAATCATAACTTTTCCTTCATTCCAATTGATAAAGTTCTCTGTCCAAATTCCACTACTTGCAACCATATCTTTCTCCTCCATTTGAATCGATAAAGCTCCCAAAACACAAACAATCAAAATTTCAATCGATTGCAGCCAGAGTAGGATCTTCCTCGGAGGTTTTGCAAAAGATGGGTCTTTTGCTGTGGCTGTGGTTGATGATCGAGTTGCTGCTTCTGTGGCTGTTGTGCATGTAGTCTGAGATAGCAAAAGACCCGTTTTTACCATGTTCGGGTCAACCCAGATGGTGGAAGACCCCAAATCAACGCTGGGTTTGCGGGATGGTGGAGATCGGTGAGAGTTGTCTCTGCTCTGGTCATTGGAGAAGGAGGCTGCAGCTGCTGCTCATGTACGAAGGAGAAGGACTGGGTTCACTGCTTGCAGATGATGGAGAGAGGACTAGCAATCCCGTTGTTTTGGGGGGTCTCGCTAAGACCTCATAGTGAGGGACTTAGTCGAGGCGAGTCCTCCTTTGTCCCATTAAACTTAATCCTGCCTAGAACAAACATAGGCCTACACGAATGTCTAATCCAGTCCAGTCTAGTGAAACCTAACGAGGCCAAACAAACGCCCCCTTATAGGTCTACCATGGCCCACCATCAACATCGTGTTGGATTTATCCAATATAAATCAACCTTTAAGTGGTCTACTACATGTAATAGGAATGTAATATTGGAGAATAATGTTAATTGTGATTTAATCTCTTAAAGATATTAATTCTATATAAGGTGTCTTATATTGGAAATAGGATTGATGGAATCCTTAATAATATATGATTATGATATTTTACTTGAGAGCCAAGAAAGGAGAGTTTTAGTTTTCCCTTATGGACGGAATCTAAGACTTTTTTGCTAGTATATAAACACCGGTCCCTGCTAACCCTAGACATGACAACTAAGGCTTCCCATAGAGCATTGTCATAAAGTTAGGAGTTTACAAAAGAGTTGGTGTTTCTGTTTGTCACGGCAAACATAAAGATTGGAGTTGTATCGATCACGTCTTGCTTGCATGGCTACTGCATCTTCGATAACTACCATTGGAATCAGGTCAGTCACTCCTTCGTTTGTGTTTTAATTGTATAACCTTATAAGGCTAACAATTGGTATCAGAGCTACTGGTTGTATGATTAAAACCTATTAGGTTTGAAGTTTGGTTATATAATATCTTTCTTTTTAGACTGCGGTTTTGATCTTAAATCCTTATTGCATTCGGCAACATCACCATGTTGGACTTGCTTGAAAACTGCATAGTATGTTTCCGCATATGATTGCATATACTTGGCAACACCACCATGTTGTTTCAATCGGTACAATTGATGATTGTTAATAAGTTATATAACCATTCGGTTTTAGTCAAGATTTTTAATAATTTTATGGCACGAATGCAAATCGTGGTATCAATCTTTATATATAAATCATGGTATCATAACTATTTTACAATGGAAACCATGGGAGATTTTCTATTTCAAATATAGTTTAGAGTGATTCCTTTTGACCAGCCATATTAAGCCATCGAAAATAGCTTGCGTTAGGGACACATCAAGTCACAAGTATAAAGCCACGAACCAGGCACTGAGAAGAATAACAGTTTTGTTCTATTTCAATCTTCATGCTAGTGTTTTGGTTGAATTGATTTACCATGTGCCACTAATGATCTCAATTTTTGTAAGCATGCTATATTTGTTTTGACCTTACTGAAGAGCTCCCTCCAATTAGCAAGCAGAACGAAGTCATCTCCCAAAGCAAAATGGTTTGTTTCATTGACTTTGATTTCTATGATGGTTTATGGTATTTTGGCTGATATATATTTGGGTTGATCCCTGAAGGCTTAAATTGGTAATAAGATAAAGATATAATTGCATGAATGATGTGCTAATTATTGTAGAGTATGTACATACATTGATTACCATGTATCGGTTAAGTATGTCATGAATATGGATCCAATTATTATATATTTTGGCAATACGTATCTAAATGGGCATATGCTTATTGAATAAGAACTAATATTATTTTCCATGAATTGTATTCTATATGAATTGCGACGGGTGATATGTTAATGTGACAAGAAACAATTGCATAAGTGCCAGCAATTGTTTGATCAAGCAAGTATACATAATTTTCTAAAGCCAATTATGTATCTATAGTTCGCATAGCATGTATATGTATTTACATTTGTTCTAACCTTGCATTGGAGAATTTCTTAAGATCCCTCAGTCGAACAAGCCCAATGAAGAGGTTCGTATTACATCGGTATATGAAATTCTGGTATGATCTTTCCTTTTGGTCTTCATGATAAATTATATAAGAAATGGTTATGTTGGATTCATGAAGTGTTATATTGTTCCCACAAAATCCAACCATGTCGTGACGTCTTACAGATTGTAAGAGACGGAATTAGTCATATTCTATAATTCATCAATACTATTGGGATATGTTGTGTCTATGATTGTGATAACATGTGTTAAAGTTGTGTTGCAGGAATGCATATGCTAAGTTTATATATGTCTATATTTGAAAGTAGGACAATATAAATTTTGGCAATTTTTGTTATTGCATCGATAGCATCATGGATATGTTTCAAAGATGTGTAAGGTGACAAAATTTCTTCCATGACCGTGGAATATGATAAATTGTAACTAATTTGCTTGAACCAAATTTTTAATATTGTTAAGCAAATGGCATGTATAGTGTTGCTTGTATGGCTAATTTGGTTCAAGCATGAGATAACATATTTTTAATGTTGCCGTGGGTTTTGGACTATAGTGAATTGTAGTGTTGTTTCCACTAATTTTCACGAGATGTGAATGAACTTTTATGCCATTAATATCACACGAAATGTGCGTGACTAATCAATCAGGTTTGTCTACAATTTTACTTTCTTATCTTAGTATAGTCATTTAAATTATACATGACTAGTTAACTGTTGAAATTGATGCATAACTTGTGGATTGACTGAGAGTAACAGAAAGCATCCAGTGATAAGAACAAGTACATATGAGGTTTGTAGTAATTATGTGACAATTCTCATTTGTATTTTATCTATTTATTTGAGAATTTTGGTTGATCATGTGATTATATATATGTTTACAAAGAAGTGGTGAACATATGAAGGCATGAGGTATGTAATCCATTCAAAGTATGTGGCTTAATTGATAAGCATGAATTTTCAAACATGTATTATTGTTTGTGGTTTTTCCTATGCCTAAAGAATTTAAACAGTACTTTGATTAGTAATTTTTATGTGTCATAAGGGGAGAAGAAAAGAAATTTAT